AAAAATATATATATATATATATATATATATATATAATACAAAGTAAAACAACAATGGTGCAAAATGGAGTGGACTAGAAACAATAAAATAAAATAAAAAAAATTAATAAAATTGAATAAACAGTGCAAAGTAAACTAAGAATTTAACAAACTCAATAAATACATATATACTAAATAAATACAACTAAATAAATAATAAATAAATAAACTAAATAAATGACTGAAGTAACATTAACAGCAGTAACAGCAGCATTAAAATATAGTAAAAAAGAAACAAAATAAACCATAAAAAATTTAATTAAATTACAAAATTTCAAAAATTGAAAAATTGCTATATGTTATTGATATATCATTACTATACATTATTTATATATTATAAAAAATTATATATTAGTGATAGTAAAATAATACTGCAGCAGACCTTCTCATCTTCCCAAATCAATGAAGTATAATTAACGATGAATAAATGAACTCTCTATATTTTCATTTTCTATTTCATAACCTATTCTTTCAAAGTCTTGATCTAAATTTCGGTTTAGTGTGCTGTATGATTTTATGTAGATTCTTAACTGCATTTAATGAAAAAATATATATAATAATTAATACAAAGTAAAATTACAGTGGTGCAAAATGGAGTGAATTGCTAACAATAAAAAGTAAAATAAAAGAAATAAAATATAAAAACAGTGCAAACTAGGAATTTAAACAAACTTTATAAATAAATAACATAAGTACCATTACCATAATAGTAGCATTAAAATACAATACAGTAATAAAAAAAAATTAAATTAATATAATTTTCTTTAGTGTTTTTAACAGATTTAACATTTACACTTTATTTATGTGTTGTATTTTTAATTTAATGTTTTTTTTTTAATTATTATTAATTTCTTTTATTTTTTATTTTTGACCCGTCCTGTGTGAATGTCAGATGTGTGATTGATATGTTTCTCTCTCTCTCAGTCACAGGTAGTGTTCCTGCGCTGTCCTCGTCTCCTCTGGTGATGAAGGAGCGTCCGTCTGTGAGTTCCCGCAGCAGGTTACCGCGGCACCGACCCCTGAACCGGACGCAGTCGGCGCCGCTGCCTCAGAGCACACTGGCTCAGCTCGTGCTGCAGCAACAGCACCACAGCTTCATGGAGAAACACAAACAGCTTCAGCAGCACGTCCACATCAGCCAGGTATCTCACTTCACTCATCTAACACACAGCTCCACCAATTAAATTACAAAATTTCAAAAATTGAAAAATTGCTATATGTTATTGATATATCATTACTATACATTATTTATATATTATAAAAAAGTATATATTAGTGATAGTAAAATAATACTGCAGCAGACCTTCTCATCTTCCCAAATCAATGAAGTATAATTAACGATGAATAAATGAACTCTCTATATTTTCATTTTCTATTTCATAACCTATTCTTTCAAAGTCTTGATCTAAATTTCGGTTTAGTGTGCTGTATGATTTTATGTAGATTCTTAACTGCATTTAATGAAAAAATATATATAATAATTAATACAAAGTAAAATTACAGTGGTGCAAAATGGAGTGAATTGCTAACAATAAAAAGTAAAATAAAAGAAATAAAATATAAAAACAGTGCAAACTAGGAATTTAAACAAACTTTATAAATAAATAACATAAGTACCATTACCATAATAGTAGCATTAAAATACAATACAGTAATAAAAAAAAATTAAATTAATATAATTTTCTTTAGTGTTTTTAACAGATTTAACATTTACACTTTATTTATGTGTTGTATTTTTAATTTAATGTTTTTTTTTTAATTATTATTAATTTCTTTTATTTTTTATTTTTGACCCGTCCTGTGTGAATGTCAGATGTGTGATTGATATGTTTCTCTCTCTCTCAGTCACAGGTAGTGTTCCTGCGCTGTCCTCGTCTCCTCTGGTGATGAAGGAGCGTCCGTCTGTGAGTTCCCGCAGCAGGTTACCGCGGCACCGACCCCTGAACCGGACGCAGTCGGCGCCGCTGCCTCAGAGCACACTGGCTCAGCTCGTGCTGCAGCAACAGCACCACAGCTTCATGGAGAAACACAAACAGCTTCAGCAGCACGTCCACATCAGCCAGGTATCTCACTTCACTCATCTAACACACAGCTCCACCAAGAAAATCTAAAGATTGGGTCTTTATTTGATTTAAAACTTTAATTCAATGAAACTGGGGAAACTTTGAAAGAAGAATGGAGAAATAAAGAAAGGAAGGAAGGGTTGAATCTCATGCAACTTGACAAAAATGTCCAGGAAATGAAATGTAAATATTTTGGCTTAAAGAAAATAAATCCTTAAGATTTTCTTTTTTACATTGTGACAATCATTTTTACAATTCTTAATTCAAATTTTGAAAAGTTTAAAAAAACTTGAAAAACAAACCGTTCAGACTCATTATAATACATTATAATAGTTGGAAGGGAATTACGGTGATATTTTATTTTGGACGATTGGAAAGTGAGTAAATCCCCACCGGATGTTTTACTGGGACTTTTAACACATTTAACATTTAGACTTGCATTCAAACATTCAGGATTTTTATTTTATTTTATTTTAAACAAAGTTTGGGCCTTTAAAAGTACTAAAACATCACAAATTCCAATGATAAACTTCATTTTCTAAAAGCAGAAAGCATTGAGTGCTTTCCATTCAGGATCATTTAATGGACAGTGCATCATCATGATTTCTCACCTTGTGATAGATTTACAGTACGTATCTGAAATACACCAAAAAAAGAGCATTTAAGAGAGTTTGCTTAACAGCGATACAGCGACAAAAACACAATCTAGGTTGCGTGAGAGCAACTTCAGCAGACTGTGTCTGAAAATGAGAGTTAGAAATTCCTTTTAACATCATGATCCCTGAACGTGTTTGTATAATTCACACACTGCACGCAGAGAGCGATGACATGATGATCGATGGATTGATGATACATAAATGTGCCTTTCAGAACTGCAGCGTTTCAGAGTGTGGACGTTGTGTGTGTGTATAAGTGTGTGTGTGACTAGTGTATCCTGCAGTGTGGTCCTCATAAGAGTTTTAAAGGGCTCTTTTCTCTTAAATGATGGTGTAAACTGATCTGACTGATGCCTTGTTGAGACAGGAAGTGAGTTAATACAAGGAGAGGAAGTGAGTAAATCCCAGCAGGACGTTTTACTGCAGCTGCTTTTAACTGCTCTTTTACACTCGCATTCAAACAAGCAAAATTGTATTTTATTTTCTATATATTTTATTTCATATTTGAATTTTTTATTTTAGTTTTTATTTGAATAGTTACAATTTAATTTTGGAAAATGCTAGTTTTCATTACTAAATCCGACTAAACAGGGCAGATTTTTTTTCATTCAATGCCCCATACACCCCGTTTTTTCCTTCTAATAACACTTTGCTTTCTTCCTCCATTCAGTATTACTTTCTCTCTCTCTCTCTCTTTCATTTCCTGAAGGTCTAGTAGAGGATTTAGCAGACAGACGCTGGCAGCACTTTAACACACACATGCATCAGTGTATATCATTTATCCACTTTTTATTTCACCTAGACCTTTCACAGCTGCTGTTTTTTGGGGTTTTGGTATTATTTTACCCTTTTACAGGAGGACTGAGGCCAGAGCGGGCGACGTGTTCGGGAGAGAGACAGATTTAATGAGCCACTTTAACAAGAAGATACCAAAAAGAATGAAAGATCATGTTAATGTGTCACTTCTAATTAATTATGACACATAACTGAACTCAATGCAGTTAATGCTGGGAAAAAATAGAGTGCAATAGTGAAAATCACGGTTTCAAGTTCCAGAAGTACTTTTCCAAAACATTTTCTCCATATGAATCAAACAAATAAGTTAGAAAATCTAAAAATAAATTAATGAACGAGTGCAAAGTAAATTTAACAAATTTTGTAAATAAATGACAGATGTAGCATTACAGTAATAGTAACCAAACTTGTCAAAAATATGTTCAGGTCATATTTAAATAAATAAATAATATATAAATAAATACATTTAATTTGTAATAATAAATAAATAAATAAATTAATTAATTAATGGATATTTCAATATCCAAATTGAAATAATTAATATTATACTTAGTAATTATTTAAATATTCATATTTAATTAATTAATTAATCAATTATTAATTAATTATTGGATATTTCAATATCCAAATTGAAATAATTAATATAACAATTATTCATATTTAAAACAATTTAATAAAAACAATTCTGTATTTATACAAAAAAAATTATAATAAATAATATTCACTGTGATACTGGGAAGTTGGAAGGCAATTACTCACTGTAATATAGTGAAAATGACTAAATTACTTTTTATTTAAGCATAAATTAAAGACAGATATTTAGAAAAAATAAAATACAAATAAGTGAAAAAAGTAAATTTAACAAACTTTATGCATAAATGACAGAAGTAGCATTACAGTAATAGCATTAAAATAAAAAGTAATTAAAGATCAAATAATATACAATTAATATTATTAATAATTATTATTACAAATTATTAATATATTATTATAGCAATTTGAAATGTACACATTATTATTATTATTATTATTATAAATTTCGAAAGATCATGTTAATGTGCCACTTCTAATTAAATATATTACACATAACTGAACTCAATGCAGTTAAAGCTGGAATAACAATACAGCGCAATTGTGACGCCAAAATAACTTTTCCAAATGATTTTCTCCATATGAACCAAACAAAAAAACAATTGGGTTTTAAAAAGTCAGAAAATCTAAAAAACAAAAAGTACTGTGTATTTAATGCAATGAACTATCATCCCATGAAGCTTTGCGAGTAATGGAATCGAATCAGCCATGATGATATAAACTATAAAACAGCTTACTTCTCTCTCTTTCTCTCTTGTGTTTGTTCTGTAGGTTCTGTCTCAGTCCATCGAGCAGCTGAGGAACCCCAGCACCCATCTGGAGGAGGAGGAGGAGGAGGAAGAGGGAGCATCTGCGGAGATCACGCCGCCCCCTGCTGGAGTCATACGCACACACAGCGACCCCAAGGCCGCCCACACTAGAGTCATCCGGCTGAAAACCGAGCCTGAGGACGGGCAGAGAGAGGAAGAGAGACGGGACGTGAGAGAGGAGGACATGGGGAGAGATACAGGTGAAGAACAGGACAAGATTTCAGCACAGATGAAGAGAAGCCGCGCCAAACACTGTCTGGAAAATATGACGGAAACTGATGTTTGAAAAAGAGAAAGAAATGAGCAAAGGAAGGACTGAATCTCATGAAACTTAAAAAAAAATGCCCAAGTCACACACACACACACACACACATACACACACACACACACACACAGATATATATATATATATATATATACATACACATACACATACATATACTGTATACTATTAAAAACTGTTTACAATATTATTAAATATTTGTTTTGCTTAAAGAAAATATAGCTTTACAGGACTTTTTTTTTTTTTGCATTGTGACAATTATTTTTTTTAATTCTTGATTAAAATTATTATTATAGAATATTTTAACTTGAAAGCAAAATGTTCAGATCCATTACAGTACTGAGATGTTGGGCTTACTTTTTACAGTACAAAAATACAGTAAAAAATGCAAAATTCAAATTTTATTTAAGCATAAATTAAAGGCAGATATTTAGAACAAATACTGCTATGGTGCAAAAATGCCACACATAATATAACATTAATTTAGCATTAAATTTTTTTTTTTTTTTGAAAGCAAAATGTTCAGACTGTCATTTACTGTAATACAGTAAAAGTGGCTAAAATTTCTGTTTATTTAAGCATTAATCAAAGCAGGTATTTAGAACAAATTCTGCCAGAATGCAAAAATACTACAAATAATTTAATATTAATTTAGCATCACATATTATGTTTAAAAAATGTTCAGATCTATTATGATACCGAGAAGTTGGGAGATAATTACTGTAATACAATTAAAAAATAACTAAATGTTTTTTAAACTAAGCATAAATTTAAGTCAGATATTAAGCCATTGTGCAAAAATACTACAAATAATATTACATTAATTTTGCATTACATTAATGAGATGTATTTTTTGAAGATTTGGGGGGAAAGGCACGTGTAATTGTTATCACAATGCAAAAAAATAAAATAAAAAAACCTTAAATCTTACTTAAGAAGTTCCATTTACTTTAAGCAAAATTAAGTAAAATGTGAGTGAAATGTGACCTGGACATTTTATTTGAGGTTCAACCAAAGAAAGAGTGACAGCGAGTGGTAAGAAAGAAAAAAGTGAAGTGGAATACTGAAAGGAAAGAGAAAGTCCGCAGGTATGAGGGCGAACATGTGCTTGTCTGTCTTCTGTCCGTCCTCAGCCCTGTTAGTGTGACACTGTCCGTGACCTCTGACCTCTGTCTCTGCTGTGATCTCCCCTCTCGGTCGTTGTTGTTGTTGTGTGTGAAGCTAAATAAAGAAAAGCCATGACCACAGAGCTTCATTTTACACCCCACATTAAACCAACAGTAGCGCAGCTGCTTTTCATGTGAGCAGAGGAAATGATGCTAGCGAGCTTTTCTGCTGCTGTTTAAACGTCTGTCAGAAATGATGCTAAATAACGTCCTTGTTGTGAAACTGTCACTGTTTTTGTCTGGTTTCTGGTGGTCGACCAACGACTAGTGTCAGTGTAAGCACAATTCAACCTACATTTGCTGAAAACACTTATTGTTGCAATCCAAACTATTCGGTCATTCGTTGTTTTTCACGATCGCGGACAAAAACTCACGTTGACACGGAAGAGATGGGATTTATCACTAAAAGGCGATGGTTGCTACGCCCTGCTGTCATCCAGAGGCCGGATTCACCGAAATCTTCTTAAGAAAGAATTCCTTAAGATAAACTCGAAGAAGTTTAAAAGAATGTTCCTAAGTGTAATCCTTGAAAAGTTCTCAGATATATATGAGAACTCAAATGAATAAAATCATACTGTATGAGCTGAAGCTGCCAAAAATTATGCCGTAATTATAAAATTAAAAATGAGGTCCCCATTTGACTCGATTTGAGGAGTTGTAACTCGAATTGAGCAAAAAGTCACATCACGTAAAATTGTTTATCAATCACTGGTGTCATTTCCGAGGAGTTGTGCACAGTATTATTTTAGTAACACTGAAATATTATAATTTTTATTAATATTTTGTCATTTGATTTCATTTTAATTTTAGTTAAAGTTTTAGTAATTTATTTTTGTTTTTGTCATTTTAATTAGTTTTCAGAGTTTTCCTTTAAAGTCTTTATTCATTTTTATTTCAGTTTTAGTTTTGGTCATTTGTCGTCATTTTTGTTATTTTAGTGAAATGAAAACCAGAAATGTTGCCTTGGCAACTTGCTGAAAAAACAAAAAGTTTAAGTTTTTATATATATATATTATTTCAGTTAATGTTTATTTTATTTCAAGTAAAGAATTTTTTTTTGGCAGTTTTAGTTATAGTTAACTATAATAAGTAGCTAGTGTTATGCTTATGTTGCAATGCGTAATATTTGAAACAACCCAATAAATTAAACATGTTACCTTTCAGAATTTTGGACAAGTTTACAACAACATTCTTTTCAGGAATTCAAATTCTTCTTACATTTTGCTACAAGTACAAACTTAAGAAAAAAGATTCTTATGAACATCAGGAAATGGTTTTGGTAATACTAAATATTCGTAACATTATTCTTAAGTTTGAAAATAAGAAGAAAATGGCAGTTACAAATAATTTTATTCTTAAGAATGTTTCGTGAATCCGGCCCTGGGTTTTCAGTGTTTGTTTATGTGATGGTATCTGTGTTTGTGACTCGTGCAGTCCAGAGAGTCAATTATTCACATGATTCAGTGATTCAGTCAATGCTGGATTGACATGATTCAGTGACTCAGTCAGTAATGGATTCACATGACTCAGTGATTCAGTCAATGATGGATTTGCATGATTTGGTGATTCATTCGATGTAGATTCACATGATTCAGTGATTCAACCAATGTTGGATTTACATGATTCAGTGACTCAGTCAGTAATGGATTCACATGACTCAGTGATTCAGTCAATGATGGATTTGCATGATTTGGTGATTCATTCGATGTAGATTCACATGATTCAGTGATTCAACCAATGTTGGATTTACATGATTCAGTGACTCAGTCAGTAATGGATTCACATGACTCAGTGATTCAGTCAATGATGGATTTGCATAATTTGGTGATATATTCTTTGTAGATTCACATGATTCAGTGATTCAATCAATGTTGGATTCACATGATCCAGTGATTCACTCATTGTTGGATTCGCATGAATCAGTGATTCACTCATTGTTGGATTTGCATGAATCAGTGATTCACTCATTGGTGGATTCGCATGAATCAGTGATTCACTCATTGTTGGATTCACATAATCCAGTGATTCACTCATTGTTGGATTCGCATGAATCAGTGATTCAGTCAATGTTGGATTCACATGATCCAGTGATTCAGTCAATGTTAGATTCACATGATTCAGTGATTCAGATCAGTCTGTGTTGGTGTTTAGATGTATCTTATGTCTTGCCTGGTGTTTGATTCTCATTTGTTAGTGAACAGAATCAATATAATCGGTGTGATACGCCAATGGTGTCAATGACGAAACTTTTTCTCCATGTGATGTTTGTAGAAAAAACACTGATATTTCATGTTTATAACATCTCAAATGTAAGATTTTCACAGTTCACAATGATGCCAGCACAGAGATGTATAAAGTTTTGTGAATTTGCATTATCATTTTGTGATCATACACTGTGTTGAATGCCTGTGAGATGTACAGATGAGTCAATCGCTGTCACTAATCACACTAATGAAACGAATGATTGACGGATTCTTAATCATGTGGCCATAAAAGTACAACAAGAGCCTGTTTTTACTTCACTGCTATGTAAATAACGTTTATTACCCACTGTTACGCTAGATTGAAACAATAACTGCATGAAAAACCTTGGGTCAAAGGTCATGTTTACGTTGAAATTATAGTTTTAAAATAAAAGTTGTTTGTAAAACTTCTCTAAACCTCCTCAGACTCGTCTCATTATTGAAGGTAATTTTGAGCGAACAGGACTGCGATCTCTCCGCTTTGACCTCGCTGTCTTTACCTCACATTTTTCCCACAGCTCCTCACGTCTCAGGCTGATGTTGAGGGAGCGTTACGTTAACCTCTTGTGCTCGTGCAGAGCTGTGGGATCAGGTTAACCCTTTGAAGTGTGCTTAAGAGAATCTGTGATCTTCTGGCTGCTATCAAGGGAATGTCTCTGACGCAGATATACGACCATCACATCACAGACCTCTATGGGACTCAGCATTTCTAAAGGTTCAATACAGGTTAAGCTCTACTGACAGCATTTATGGCATAATATACACTACTGGACTTATAGAAATTAATACTTTTATTTAGCAAAGATGCATTAAATTGATCAAAAGTGACAATAAATACTTGTATAATGTTATAAAAGATTATATTTCAAATAAATGCTGTTCTTTTGAACTTTCTGTTCATCAAAGAATCCTGAAAAATAAAATGCATCACAGTTTCCACAAAAATATAAAGCAGACCAACTGTTTTCAACATTTATAATAATCAGAAATGTTTCTTGAGCAGCAAATCAGCATATTAGAATGATTTCTGAAGGATCATGTGACACTGAAGACTGGAGTAATGATGCTGAAAATTCAGCTTTGATCACAGAAATAAATGGTAAAAATATTTCACAATTTTACTGTTTTTTGTTTTACTGTGTTCGATCAAATAAATACAAATTGTTATAACTTGTATAACTTATAGTCTTAAACATTATGCATTTATAATTACTTAGTAACCATGTATGTGCAAAATCAATAAACCCAGTAAGCAAGAAAATGGCTTTTTACATTTAAAATATGTGCTAAAAACTAGAATTCATTAATCTAGAATGGTATTCCCACCAAAAATATCATTTTAATAACTTTAGAGTAGAAATAGCACATTTTACATGTGCTTTAACAAAAATACGAGCTTCACATGTGCACGGTCCTGTTGTACACTCTCAAAAATAAATTTTCGAAGTTGCAAATAAAGATTATTGGAGTATGTTTTACAAGAAAATACTACTTCAGTCTGTCTACTTCAAAATTTCAAGTTTAATTAAATGTGTTACTTGCCATTTATGTAATCATTTGTGAAATTTACTAGCAATGTCTGAGTGAAAATGGTTTCAAAGCCAGTGTTTAAATAGTTTATTTTCTTTTAGTTAATATTGATTTTAAGTATTTTTTTTTTTCAGTTTTAGTTAACTATAATAACTCTGATCCC